CATCACTGCGAGAAACAAGAGAGTTGTCAGCAGACGGTTCCCTGACGTTGACTTCCAGTAGTCGGGAGCATCGGTGTTGTCAAGGATGGCGCTAAAAATATCCCCCACACCAATGATAAAAGCTACACAGCCGCCAAAGGTATTTAGTAGACGCACTGCAGCCGTGAAATGGTCAAATCCCGGGCCCAGTAGTGTGCGTGACACGTCCTCATATGTCCTCAAGCCAAACCGCTCCATCTGCACGGCGAGACAGTACAGCGAGTACACGGAGAGAACCACGATTATTACCGGGTACACGAACGCCATGAGAAGGCCGCTGTTGTTTGCTGCAGCAGGGAGGCCTAAGATACCGGCACCAACACATATAGAGGAAAGGTTGAAAACAGTGGACAGCAACCCGCCTGGTGGGATTATCCTCGACATAATACCGGGAGAAGACACTACAGGCCCAGACTCCGGTTCAGGCAGTTTCATACAGACCTCACCCTCTGTCACCTCCATCTCTTCCTCCCCCGCCTCCAACGGCAACAGAGGGCGATCAGGACTCCTGGGCGACAACGGTGATTGTATGTTGCCTGGGGCACCTCTCAGCATCCGGTGCGCAGCATCCTGCTGGTTGGCGGAGGCATCGTTCCTTTCCGCAATCTCGCGAGGTGCAGTTCGGGACTCTGCTTCCAGTTCCTTCGTTTCGTGGCTGATAGCCATGCGTGTATGTGTGTGTGCGGGAGAAAAGCTGTTTCACACGCAGACAAGCTACTATGCCTGTGACCGGAAAGACAGAAGTGAGAAAAGAAAAAAAAACAACAACAATATGATGAACTCTCTAGGCGATCATCTATACTTGGACTCAAAAGCAAAATTCCGTAGATGGCAAAAACATGGACATTTAACAGAGCAGGTGCCAACTAGTTCATTGTAATGCCGGAAGGTCGCCGCTGTTTCAGTTTATCTTTTTCACCTCATAATCCCCATTTCTTAGCAGTGAATTCGTTCATGGCGCGAAAATACAACAATATAAAAATATATATATATATCTTAAAATTTAGATTTCTTTCAGGAGTTCTTGTGAACATGTCTAAGATTTAGATGCCGTGCCCCACGGAGGTTTCAGCACATCCGCGGTGTAGACAGCTGTGCCTCTTTGACTCGAATTGCATTAAAAAACATGCACGTATCTTTTCTTCAACATTCTTCTATCGCTTTTGCGGCGTCTGGGCGCAAAAGCAAAAATAAAAAAAGGACTGACGTCCATACGCCTATTCTCACCACAACGTATTTTTCCCATTTCCAGTGTGGGGGGCAGTTATACACAGGGGAAACCAAAACACACACAAAAGTAAAGAAAAGCTGGGGGCTTGTGGCTTATTTTTACCAGGTGGCGAAGATGTTTATGTACCCGGGTTACACCCAGTTTATAACAAAAACGCCAAAACAATCCGTTATTCTTCTTTTATCTTCCGTTGATCAACAATGCTTAGAGCTTAATCACACGTTCCATGTGGCTTCATTCGTTTCGTGTTTGAAGTAACGTATTGTGTAAGTGTTGGAGTCTAGTCCACAATAGTGCCGTGGATCGTGGCGCCCATGCCGAAGACGACGCCGATGACACCGGCTATCAACAGCACGTAGGTGAGGATGTACCTGAGGGGGCCCGCCTTCTCCCAGGAGAAGTCGCCCGAGTACATGACGAGCAGCGCAGGTAGGAGGAACCCAAGCGTGCCGCCCGTGACGGAGCC